CTAGAATATGAGCGACAAGTTGGGCCGAATGGTGCGCGTTTCGTCTTTCTCTGCTTTTGTGCGTTCGTCGCTCATTTCATACCAACTCTCCAGAGGGACGCGATCTCGCTAAACTGTTCAACTGCAAGTTCATCGAGACTTCTGCAAAGGTCAGGATCAACGTAGACCAGGCTTTCCAGGACCTTGTTCGTGAGATTCGGAAATATAACAAGGTTTGCTTGATCATCATTCCTCGCGGATCCATCTATTCACTAATGATTTGGGATGTCCAGGAACAACAAACCTCTGGTCGAATGATGACAGGCGGAGGCGGAGGAGGACCACCAGGAGCCTACGCAGGCAAAGATCCCAACGATGAAGGTGCTGGCGGGTGCTGTGGCGGTTGTGTAGTCCTCTGATCTATGCTTTCCCTTTCGATCCTTCACAACGCGCTTGACTAAGGCATCTTTCATCACCACGTCTGTTTCCCTTCATGCTGCTGTTTCATCAGATGTCTCTTGCCAGGTCCAGTATCACACATCCAATCCAATACATCCTCCCGTGTTTTGATTTTATTCCCCGTTCTCACTACTACTATCATTCTCTTCGTTGTGTCATGTTCATGCCTTTCTCTGTTTTCATGTCCTGTTTTGTTTTGTTATCGACTCCTGTTCTTTTATCCACTAGCTTAGCTCGTACCTGTCTCCGAGCCTCCTCTAAAGTGCGGCGTACCTCTTTTTCCTTGTTATAGGCTTTAGAATACTCGTACTCGCCCTCACAAGCCTTCGCCCCAGATGGGACGGAAAGAAATAAATAACACGATATCTTGAATCTGATTGAAGCGCTCGAAGTTTGACCATGTGCAAGGGTGATATCACGATTCACAGCCTATCACAGCTGACTGAGCAAACCTCCGCGGTCTCTTTCTTTACCACTCTCTTCCAACATGCAATCCTGGCGACAAATCTACTGGAACAGAACCAGAAAACAGCTTTTCGATGGCTTAGCTGACAGTGAGAACCGACAAAGTCCTTACTTCCTCAAGCAGCACTTAAATCTTCGTGTCAGTCGTCAAAATGAGCGGAGCAGACCCACCGTCCAGAGCACCTCACACCCTCTTCACGTTCAATTCTAAAGACGATCTACGGATGTATGCTACTGGTTGTGATGGGGACATAGGTGGCAACTCGACTGTGAATCTGGAACTGGACGAGTCAAGCACGACAAATGCAAAAATCAATAAACCTGCGACTACGAAGTTCTGGGGAGACATGCGGTTGGATGTACGGCCACAGTATCAGGGAAGAGTACGAGGTGGTTATGCTGCATTTCGGAATAAGGTAAGCTCTTTGCAACTTGAAGTTGTTGTTGTTGACTGGTTGTTTCTCGTTCTCATAGCCGCGACCAAGTTTGTTCGGTGACGTTCTTGACAATATCGAGTTTCACGAATATCTCGCCCTTCGACTCAGAGTCGCAGGAGATCCTATAACACACAACTCATATTTTGTCAACCTTCAAACGAACGGGCCAATAACAACCGATGTCTGGCAACATCGGTTATACTTCCAGAAGAAGAACGACTGGGAGGATATTTTCGTGCGTTTGACCGTTGGGTAGTCAACTAGTCTTCTGAACTTGTCAATCTTGGCGGCTTCTTAGATCCCATTTCGCAATTTCGTACGGACTAACAACGGCGAGATGTCTGAAATACAGCTGGAGATGAGCGACAAACTCCGGAGTGTAGGTATATCCCTGCTTGGTGGAAATTCTGGTGTGTCGGGCAAGTATGAGCTTAACATCGATAGTATACGAATAGTCAATGAGGAAGATGCCGTTTCTGATCTTGGTATGTGCAATTTGCTCGTTTTGAATTATGCACTTTTCCTACAATATGGCTCGCTCATGCGTTTTTTGGTCTTTCCTAGATTCGGGGGTGGCATCGGAGAAGGAGAACGGTCAAGCTTGGGAAGATATCAAGATATAATTGTTGACGCGTCATGAACAGCTACGCATTCTGTGATCCGCATATATTTTTAATGCATTACCACCATACACAGCACCAGCACTACCTTACGGTACGACCACCACAGCGTTGACGCCCATGCAAAGTACCCCTGTTCAATCGATGGCCTCAACTCTTAGATAACGCGCGCTCTCTGCGTATTTCTGTCAACGTTCTTCGTTTGAATCTTTCTGTATTATTCGACCCTCACTTCTCCTGACGCTATGTGCCCTCGCCTGAACTTTGCTGCTGTCCACCTCCTCGGCCAATTGTTACTGGACCACCAGTTCACCAGTCGCGACTTGCCTGTTCAAGTCTCTTCACCGGTCCAATATGCAGTGGCTCCTGTTAATTCCAGCAAGTAACTAGCGTTTACAGGTTTTGTCGCATGTATCACTGACATTCTCACTGCGATTCAGGATTCCTATTACCTGGATCGAAATAATGTGCTTCGCTTTCTGTATGCGACACAAGTTTTGGCTACCGCACTATTCATCTAGTGTGTTATGAACTAGCATGAAGATATCTACTAGCATGATTCAAAGCGGGCAATGGGAAGTACTGGTGACGTTGTCGGATGATAGATGATCTACGATATCTCGCCAATGCTGAAAAGAACTAAACAGTCCAGGGAAACTTGCTATCACAGCATTGCATTGGAGGTTGAACTTTTCAGCATACGATTGCTGATGGTTCCAGCTACAGACCAGCCTCCGGATCCTACCTCACAGCCAATGAAAAACTCGTATGAATTCAACTAATCAATCTACATCTAAATGCCAAGTGAGAGGATTTATTCTACAATGTGCACGAGGGCTGAATTGACTCTCTTCTAGTTCCATCGATGTATTGACTGAGAGTTTTTGCTGTCTTTCGCAGTGCAATCCTATGTTTCGATATGACCCGAGCGAACCAAAGATCCTGTCCTGCGGCGTAACGGTGTTCTACCTTGTCCTACGGACTCGTATCAATCCACTGAATGCAAACTGAGCGGTTTTCTGCTTTGGCAGTGTGCACGACACACGGGTGGCGCGCGCTGTTTGGGGGACCGCCAGTCAACCCTTTGCCCAACCATTACAAGCCCTTACAGTTTCAAGGGTCCCGTCGTGTGGTCCAAGAATATCTCGTATCAAAGAGTCATTCGATTGATGCGTATGAATACAGTGGATACTGTTTTGCTGTGCTATGCACCCTCATGTACCATGATGAGCCCTGATGAGCCTTGATCTATGTGACTCCGAGATTGGTGTTTTTATATCCATTCAACTAACAGCCCTCCTACCCCAAGCCCTTGCTCTCTTACCACTATCTGCTTCAAAGGTATGCTTGCCCTTCCTCGTCTTCAAGAGGCTTTGCTTACTGAATGTGATTTTTGACTCGTCCAGGATATACTATCTGTAACAAAAAAAAACATCAGCCTACTAGCTTTTGTGTCTCGCCCTCCGTTTTTTTTTACGAAACTCACGACTACTCACACCCCGACATTCTTGGTCAAGATTTTGCTGGTCAAATCGGTGGGTGTTTTTTCTGACTCTGCCCGCACCGGTCATCCTGAAAGCAGAGTCGAACTCAGACACCACCATGATTCTTTATTCATTATTCTCTACTCGACTACTGTTCATTGTGCTCCTCCTCTCGACTGTCTTCTCTGATAACCCGGGTGTGATGGTGACGAGTAAACCATTACCAGTACCTCTTGTTGAGGCTGGTACACCATCGCCGCACATCCTGGCCCGTTCACCGTCGCCTCCCGTTGAGGCCGAATCACCGCTTCACGTCAAGGCTGAATCCCCTTCGTCTCATGTCGAGGCTGAATCCCCATCGTCTCACATCAAGGCTGAATCCCCATCGTCTCGCATCAACGCTGAATCACCGTCGCCTCTTATCAAGGCTGAATCATTGCCTCCTATTGACGCTGGTACGTTTGTGTACAGTTGCTCTGAGGGCCTTGATCTAATGTTGTTTAAACTACAGGACCACTTGGCGGGGATGTGATAGATCCAAAAACCAAAAGTACGTTTGCAGTTCTCATGTCATGATTTTATCTGATATTTTTTTCAAAACCAAATACGTATAGAAAAAGTTGACGAGTTTCGTGTGATTCGGATCCGGATACAGGAAGGGAGCGATGGGATGGACCCAGTGCTCTACTATACAAACACGAAAGGATATAAACCAGTACTCGACACGGAGATCACCTTTTCTGCATGTACCAGGCCTTGGGGAGTGGAAGAAGTCAGATCGGATGCAGAAATAGTTTCCAAATTGCAGACGGTTGCCGTTTTTGTTACCAGAGCTACGACCGAGCACGGTGCTCAAGCGTTCATCAATGAGCTGCCTTTCTCGCTGATATTGCGCTTCTATTCCCAGGGCTTCCAGGGGCAATGGCCATTTGTCCAGCTTGTAATAGAGTACCTGCAGTCCGACTCACGCCTGATTAAGGGTTTGGAGAAAATAGACCCAGACTGGTACGCGGGATTGGAGCCCCGTGTACAAGAGAGTTTGGAGAGCTGGGAGATCCAGTACAAGGAGAGGTTGACGAGGATGTTGGAATTTGCGTCAATGCTGAACTTGGACCACCCGCACATTAGGAGAGCGCCGTTAGCGAACTTTTGGTCGGGGTTGGAGTTGTTGTTGTGGAACAATTGCGAAGGGACAACCCAAGGCGGCAATAGTGTGCGCCATCTGGTGGAAACGGCGCAACGATGCAAAGACCTTCCAATGAAAGTCAGACCTCGGAAGGACTAGCTGTGGTATTACGGAGTAGCTGTCTAGTATGTGTGCTAAATATGTATGATATTTAACGGCGACCGCCGTCTCACCTGTCAGGCTGGCACCGTCCATTGCTGAGTCGTCCTTTGCAGAAAAAAATCCAGTTGAAAAACTGCCACTGGACCCCACATCGCGGCGGTTGCCTGAGCGGTAAAGTCGGGGATAGACCGATTGTGGATGTAGTGTCAGTGCCGCTGGAAAGATACATATTCTGGTGCTAGATAGATCATAGCCATAAGTTGTTGATGCATTAATGGGGTGTGGTAACCTGGGTCGTTGCCACTGCAGTGATGCTTTTCGACCCGCCGGGGGTTCGATTCCCCCTTAATGCATAGTTGATTGTTATGAAATGTTTTTTGGTGATTACTGGGCAGTGGGAATCACCAAATTCACACGCTCTCGTCCTTATGCTCAGCCTACGATCACAGTTACGGCCTATCCGCCGAACGCTCACGGGAACAATCCTTACGAGGGGATTGACAGCATTATCAGGCCGAACACGCAGGGATGATGGTCGTTCGAGGTTGAGCATAGACGACGACCAACCGGGACTGGAGTATATCTGGCTTCGAGATCACTGCGAATGCGAGAGATGTGTTCATCCGGTGACGAAGCAACGGATGGTGGACACGTCCAGGATACCGACGGGAATCAAACCAGTACGGATAGAGGAAAGGGAGAAGGAAGGAGTGATGGTTGTTTGGCCTGAAGAATCTGGTGAAGAACATGTGTCGGTTTACGGATGGAATTGGCTCAAAGGACAGACGAGTAGGAAAGTGGAACGGGTTTTGTGGGACTCGAGTATCGGGCAATCTGCTCCAAGGCATACATATGGAAAGATCATAGACGGAGTCGATGGAGAACAAGGACTGCTTAGGCTTCTGAGCGACGTAGAGACCTACGGATTTTCGTTTGTAGATGGTGTACCGGTGAACACAACCTCAACCGAATCCCTCATCCGTCGAATTGGCTACATCCGCCAAACACAGTACGGCGCCTTCTGGGAGTTCACATCTGACATGGAAAAGGGAGACACGGCATATAGTAATTTGGGACTGGACGTGCACACAGATAACACGTATTTCACTGATCCATCTGGGCTCCAGATCTTTCATTTGTTAGAGACTGGCATTGGTGGTCAAACGATTCTCGTCGATGGCTTTAACGCTGCATCGAAACTCGAGCCATCCTCCTACTCCCTCCTTTCCCAAGTTCCTATCCCGTTTCACGCCTCAGGTGACTCGACGTATATCTTCCAATCCTCTTTCCCAATCCTCACCCACTCCCTATCCGATCTGGTCCAAGTCAGATGGAACAACTACGACAGAGGCGTTTTGCCCACAGTTCCCGCCCTTTATCAATCCCTTGCTGAATTTCACTCCCTACTTTCTTCTCCTCGCTTACAGTATACTCTCCAGCTCCAGCCAGGCACTGTCCTCATCATTGACAATCACCGTGTGCTTCACGGTCGGACTGCTTTTGAAGGAAGGAGGAGAATGTGCGGTGCGTATGTTGGCAAGGACGAGTGGACGGCGAGATTGAGTCGGTTGAGGAATATGTACGGTAAATTGTAGTACGTCTGGCCAAACAAACTCGTCTCCAAATGCTAGATGCTGAAGTTCCTCGTCAATCATCACTTTGCTTCTCGCGAAGGGTGAAACCTGCTAGTAGCCGCAATCGTTCTGCAGGAAGACAACTCGCAACGAAGATGCACCTGTATGATCCGGGATATCACCGTGGTTGGCAAGAGATTACTTGAGAAGTGATGCAAGAAACACGCTGACATACATTGAGGCAATCTAAGATATAATTCCTTCGAAGTCTACCAGAGTCTACCAAGGTCTACCATCTCTGGATTCTGACTCTGATCGGGAGCGACAGACATTCTCTTCCCTTCCTCGCCAGCCCGGCTATATTTGGGCGCATTCCATGACCCTGCATGCAATTGTTCCATATCAACTTTTCCAATTTCCACCAGATTTCATCCTCCTCTGGGTCGTTTAGCTCCTGCGCTTTCACCTTCCTCTCCGCATCTTCCACATACTTCTTCAACAACTTCTTGTACTCTCCGTCTCTCCACCTAAATCTATCTTTCATGACCAGCGACTCCAGTTCCTTCTCCCATTTTCTGTCTAGGTACAGTAGCTGGAATCTTTTTTGGTTATAGGTCAAGAGCTTTTGGATCGCAGCCTGGACAAAATGATGTTCGGCCTGAAACATGGTGAGTTTCAGCTGGTTGATTAGGGCCTCTCTTCCTTCTTCCACGTTCTTCCCAGCTCGGATACCGAAGACAGCGACTATTTTCAGCTGTAGAACCGTCTCTCGAGGCGACGTTACATCCTCGATGACCCAAGGCCAGTTGACAGGCCACTTCCATTCTGAATTTTCGTTGATGCACGGTCGTAATCCTTGCGTATCCGAGTAGTAGAGAACGGGCCCTTCTACCCCTTCCGCCTTCTCCTGTATCCGCAGTATGAATAAACGATCTTTGCTGAACACAGCTGGATTTTAAATAGTAGAGACCCAATTATGAGATTCAAGAACTCGGCCGAGTCAACTATAAACGTACCGCCTTTGGTGTGGTGGGAAGGCGGCTGAGCTGGAGTTTGACCTTGTACAAAATCAGATTCAATCGTTCGAAGGACCTCAAACGAATGAATACCCAACGTACCATCATTTTGTTTGTGTTCAGTGGTAGGAGGCGCGTAAGCTAGAGCTGGAACTTGAGCGATGTTAGATTGACTCGTTCAATCGAAGTGACTGGAACGTACTATCATTCTCTTCGTTGATGATAGGAAGCAGGTAAACTGGAGACGGACGTTGAGCAAATCTTGAATCAAATCGTACGAAAAACCTCCATCAATAGTACACCTACCATCATCTTGCTCCGTTTCGGAAGAAGGCCCGTAGGCTGTGGTTGAACCTTGGGCAATGTTAGATCGAATCGTACGAAAAACCTCCATCAATAGTACACCTACCATCATCATGCTCCGTTTCGGAAGAAGGCCCGTAGGCTGTGGTTGAATTTTGGGCAATGTTAGATCGAATCGTACGAAGAACCTCAATCGATAACAAACGTACTATCATATCGGTCATGATCAAGGTCTTGGGAGCAGAAATTCTATGTGATTAGTACAACCCCAGACGAAACAATACCATACGTACGGGCAGCAATCTTTGCCTTTCCATTGTTTACAGCGGGCAGCGGTATACCCGTCACCACGGAAAGGCGCATCATGATTAAGAGAGTGGAGAGAAGCACAGGAAGAAGTAGTCGAGTCGAGAAGTTGAATGAGTTGATAAACATAGTGGTCTGAGATTCGTTCAGGATGTGGTTTCTGGGGCACTGGAGAAAAGAAAGAAGATACGCACAGATTTGACCAGCAATATCTTCACTAATGATAACGGAGGGTGTTACGATTCGACGTGATGACGAGGCGAGGCAGCAAAAGGATAGTTGGAAAAATGTTTCCGCCGGTTAACTTGTGTCTACTGTCCTGTAAGAAACGCAGAATCATCATCAATAAATGGCAAGACGTCGAAGACGAAAGAGAGCGTACTGTTGATGCAGATGTTGAGAGAGCAAAGATGGATAGGCTTTGGGTAGGAGAGCTACGATCTGCTACGATTCGATAGGATATAAGAACACTGGAAGCGGATTAGTAGATTAGCAGTCGTCAAGGCGCATTCAAGCACTGCAAAAACACAGAATTCACTCACCCCGAATCCATAGACATCAATCGATTGACTGATCTGGATAGAATTCCTTGGAGCTTTGAGGGCTTTTGAGAGTTGGATCAGACGGCGGAGGCTGGCGGAGGATGGTGGCCTCCAATCAGAGCGCGCCACTCGCCACTGATGGCATACTGTAGCATACTGTGCAAGCAAAAAATCGCTCAGTTTGTATTCACAAGTTGATCAGGCTGATACGAGTCCGCATGATACCCTATGATACCGTTACGCCGTAGGGTAGCGGGTTAGTAGGAACATGGGATGGCACAGGATCATGGCACAGCAAAAATAAAAAACAGAAAAACGGTAAACCTCTCAGTTGGCGTTCAACGTTCAATAGTCTTCCATCGATTGATGGACTTGATATGGATATCTTGGCCCGCACGGAAAAGCCTGATAGAACGCTCGAAATGCTGAGAGTTGGGTGAGATAAGGTGTGATAGCGAGTGATAGCCAACTCAAATCAGCGCTCGTTGTTCGTGTGCACTGCAGAAGATTGAGAAAACCTCTCGGGTGGTATTCATAGATCAATCACTGAGTCGATAGGAGTCCGCAGGGCATACCGTATGGATAGGACCAGATTTAGTGCTCATGTGGTACGTTGTAGGAGGCTGTGGTGCGAGAAACCTCTCAGTCTCCAAATCATGCATCCGCTGAGAGTGGTTCTATGATGACAAGTTTCATTCAATGGACCACTTGGTACTATTCGCGTCGAAGGAGTAAATACGTCTCATTCTCGGTTTGAATCATACGAGTACGTACCTTGTACATAGCTGCACTGTGCTTTCTTCTAGTTCATAGCAAGCATCTACTCCTTCTTCCTCGCAATGACCACTGTAGTCTTATACGGATACTCAAAAACACCTTTCTCCATATCAATCCACTTCTTCTCTACTTCCTCTTTGCCCAACATCTCCCTCACTTTCCTCTCCAACTCCTCATACTCCTCCTTCCTCTCTCGTTCCAGAATCGCAATATAACTCTTACTCCTCACCCTCTGCACTACACCTTCCACCGTCGTCGGTATCCACCACGTGAACGTCTCCTCAATCGGACCCTTGAACAACTTTGAATACTCTGGACATTGTTCGGGATCGAACGTCGCGCGCCACAAGCCCAGCCGGAACTGAGGCGACTCTCCTTCGTATTTCTCGTATAAAGAACGCAGAGAACCGACCCATTTGGCACCGTTTGTCGAGATATCCGAGTTCTCAAGATTCCAGACGTACACGACGACACCAGACGGTTTGAGGATTCGGGCGAATTCAACAGACGCCGCGTCGTAAGATGGGTGGGCCCAGTGATACGCTTGAGCGATGAACACGACGTCTGCCCATCCAGATGGGATGTTGGTCGAGGTGAACGAACCGTCTTGGATGGTGATCTTGACTACAGCCTGATAGTGAGTGATGACTCATTTTGGAAACGTTGGCCTTGAACTCACTATCATCATTCCCTTGAGGTTCAATGACCGTCTTCGTGAACTGATCCCTCATACCCTTGCTGGGTTCTACCGCACGGATTTCTGCAACAGACGAAGAGAGCTGAGAATAGGTGAGCAGGGCTCGGGTGAATATCCCTGTGCCTGCGCCCAGTTCGA